GTGGTTTGTTTCTTGCCTCTTCTGGGTATATGCCCAGCAGGGGGATTGTATGGTAGCTCAATTGCCATCTGTTTTAGATATCGCCAAATCAATTTCCATAGTGGCTGTACCTACCTATAGGTCCACCAGTAGTGGATGAGAGTTCTTATTTCACCACAGCCTCTCCAACACTTGTTGCTTTCTGATTTTTTGAATTGGGCTATTTTTGAAGGTGTTAGGTGGTATCTCGTTGTTTTAATACGCATTTCTCTTATGGCTAATGATCATGAACATTTACTCATATGTTTATTGGCCATTCAGATTTCTGTCCTTGTGAAACTTCTGTTCAGGTCCTTTGCCCACCTCCTCAGTGGGCAATTAGTTTTTTTCTTTTTGGAAGCTAGCAAAGTATTGTAGATTTTAGCAATAAGGCCTTTGTCTGATGTGTCATTGCTAAAGATATTTCCCCAAGGGCTATTCTTTGTTTATTGTAACTTAACAGCATTTAGCACAGTTTGGGTACTTACCAGAAACTCACCTTTGCCCTGGCATTCAGTGAGTGCTTGTTAAACCTAAAACAAAACTTAGGGGATGTGGGAAAAGTGTTAACATAATTTTATGACTCTTAACAAACTTTTAAAGTTAAATTTATTTAATAATCAAATATAACACCTACTATATTCCAAACCCCCAGGAATGCAAAGATGACTGCTGCTTGGTCCCTGCCTCAAAACTCACTCTAGTCTGTTGGGGAGGGCAGATACCTAACTAATTATAATAGAATGTTTAAGCTCTGTAAGGAATTATATTATGGGAGGACATAGAGAATCTGTCAAGAATAGCTTCACAGAGAAAATGTAATCAGTTTTTGAAATGTGCCTAAGCTTTTATCTATCAGAAAGGAGGAGAAGGGGCATTTATTCAAGGCAAAAGACACAAAACAGGGAGAAGGGAATGTTAGCTCTTTGAAAATGCCCCACAGCTTTGTGTGACTTATTTTTTATCTTACAAATTAAAGACAACACCTCAATGTCACCTAGTTGGTTTCAACTATAGTGACTTTATGGCAGAGTAGAAGTTCCCCTGTGGCTTTCTGAGGCTGTGAATCTTTACAGGAGCAGAAAGCCTCACCCTTCTTACTCAGAGCAACGGGTGAGTTTGAACCACTAACCTTGTAATTAGCAGCTCTATACTATACCATCAGAGCTCCTAAAACCAAATAGGGCTTCTGATTTTATTATAACTATTAAGTTACACTGATCTCACTTTTCTGGGCATAGAATGAGTTGAACTAGGCAATCTCTCTAAAGACTAATCAATGAATAGGTTAATGATTCTACTTAATACAGAATGCAATGTTGTTTTACTGCAATGTGTCTATGCTCCATAAGTATTAATGAAATTCAGTAGATGTTTCTGATAATGAAAATATAATGGCTAACACATATCAGGCATATATCCTTCAAACAACCCTAATGAGATAGATCCAATTAGTAACCCTGTTTGTAAAATAACTAAAAATTATAGCCATGTATGTATGTGAATATATTAATATATAAAGATAGAGGTATTGGGCTATGTATATATATTTATAGGGTAAAGCACTAAAGTAGCAGATGAACTTCAGATGGATTTTGGGCCTTTGCTTAAGTCTTCCCTCAACTCAAGAACGCTTTGTTCTAATAAAGTGGCACTCTGTGATACTCACCTTCCCCACATGATCATCGAAAACCAAATGGGTATATAAGCAAATGTGATGAAGAAAGTGGATGGTGCCCGGCTGTTAAAAGATATAGCATCTGAGTCTTAAATGCTTGAAGTTAAACAAGCGGAGAAGCATCTAGCAGTGAAGCCGCTAAGTCCACATGGAAGAAACACACTAGGCTGTGATCATGAGGTATTGATGGGATCAGATATCAGAAGATCAAAAACAAATAACCATATTGTTGTAAAGGAGAAGGGTCAGCGGCCCATCAGTTGACATTCAGAAACCCTGACAGAAGGGATTCACTAAAGGAGGACTCATCCAGGGTGCAGTGTAGCTCCAACGAAATGCACAACATTCCTCTAGTGCTTTAATGTGTCCTTCCCCCACTATCATGGCCCCAGTTTGACCTCACAATTCCTGCTAGACTAGCATATGTGCATTGGTACAACTAAGAGCTTTTGACACAGAATCCAGGATAGATAAACCCCTCAGAAACAGTAATGGGAGTAATGATTCCATGTGGGTGTGGGAAGGGAGGTGGGG